AAGGAGAGCAGATCACTTGAGGTCAGGAGTTCAAGACCAACATGGCCCACATGGTAAAACCCTGTCTCTACCAAAAACACAAAAAAATTAGCCAGGTGTGGTAGTGTGCACCTGTGGTCTCAGCTACGGAGGCTGAGGTGGGAGGATCGCTTGAGTCTGGGAGGTGGAAGTTTCAGCAAGCTGAGATTGCAACAAAGCATTCCAGCCTGGGCCTAAAAATAGTTTTTAAAAAATAGCTGGTGTGGGGGTTGTGCCTGTCATCCCAGCTACTCAGGAGGCTCAGCCTCCTGAGTAGCTGGGATTATAGGCTCTTGCCACCATACCCAGCTAATTTTTTGTTTGTTTTTTGAGATGGATTCGCTATCTTTCACCCAGGCTGGAGTGCAGTGGTGCAATCTCTGCTCACTGCAACCTCTGCTTCCCAGGCTAAGCGGTTCTCCTATTCAGCCTCCCAAGTAGCTGGGATTACAGGCACCTGCCACCATGCCTGGCTAGTTTTTTGTATTTTTAGTAGAGATGGGGCGATTCTCCTTCCTTAGACTCTCGAGTAGCTAGGACTACAGGCATGTGTCACCACACCTGGCTAATTTTTGTATTTTCAGTAGAGACAGGGTTTCACCATGTTGGCCAGGCTGGTCTCAAACTCCTGACTTCAGATGACCTGCCCATCTCGGCCTACCAAAGCGCTGAGATTACAAGCATGAGGCACCATGCTCAGCCCAGAAAAGACACAACTTCATCATATATTAAATCCAGCACAGTGGCTCACCCTGTAATCCCAGCACTTTGGGAGGCCGAGGCGGGCTGATCATAAGGTCAGGAGTTTGAGACCAGCCTGGATAATAACATAGTTAAACCCTGTCTCTATTGAAAATACAAAAATTAGCCAGGCATGATGACACATGCCTGTAGTCCCAGCTACTCAGGAGGCTAAGGAAGGAGAATCATTTGAACCCAAGAGGCAGAGGTTGCAGTGAACTGAGACCACACCATTGCACTCTAGCCTGGGCAACAAAGCAAGACTCCATCTCAAAAAACAAAAACAAAAAATGAATAAAAAACAATTCATTGGAGGAATGTGGTGGCTCATGCCTATAATCCCAGCACTTTGGGAATTCGAGGCAGGTGGATTACTTAAGTCCAGGAGTTCAAGATCAGCCTGGGCAACCTGGCAAAAACCGGTCTCTACAAAATATACAAAGGTAGCTAGGTGTGGTGGTATGTGCCTGTAGTCCCAGTTACTAGGGAGGCTGAGGTAGGATTTCTTGAGTCCAGAAGATGAGGCTCCAATGAACTATGATCACCCCGCTGCACTTCAGGCTGAGCCTGAGTGACTGAGCAAGACCCTGTCTCGAAAAAAAAAAACAGAAACCAAAAATCAAAAAAACCCATGGTACATCAGCAAGAAAAAAACTGTTATCGCTGGGTGAAGTGGTTCATGCCTGTAATCCCACCATTTTGCGAGGCCAAGGCGGACGGATCACCTGAGGTCAGGAGTTCGAGACCAGCCTGACTAACATGGTGAAACCTCATCTCTACTAAAAAATACAAAAATTAGCTGGGCATAGTGGTGGGCACCTGTAATCCCAACTACTAGGTAGGCTGAGGCAGGAGAATTGCTTGAACCCAGGTGGCAGAGGTTGCAGTGAGCCAAGATCGTGCCATTGCCCTCTAGCCTGGGTGACAATGCAAAACTATCTCCAAATACATACACACACACACACACACACACACACACACATATATATATATATATATATATATATTTTATTTATTTATTTTTTTAAAGATGGGGTTTCTCCATGATGGCCAGGCTGGTCTTGAACTCCTGACCTCAGGTGATCCACCCACGTCTGCCTCCCAAAGTGCTAGGATTACAGGCATGAGCCACCACGTCCGGCCTATACCTATATATATTATCAGCCATTAAACAGGAAAATTATTTAAAATACTGAAAAAATGTTTATATTATGTCTTTATAATGTTAAATGGTCAAAACAGAAGACAAAATATTAACTTGTGGCTGCAATAATGTCAAAATATGTGAGCACTAGAAAAAAATCTGCTAGCCGAGTGCAATGCTCAAGCCTGTAATCCCAGCACTTTGGGGGGCCCAGTGGGGCAGATCATGAGGCCAAGAGATCGAGACCATCCTTGCCAACATCGTGATGTTGTCTCTACTGAAAATACAAAATTTGTCTCTACTAAAAATACAAAAATTAGATGGGCGTGGTGGCACACATCTATAGTCCCAGCTACTTGGGAGGCTAAGGCAGGAGAATCGCTTGAACCCAGGAGGCAGAGGTTGCAATGAGCCAAGATTGCATCACTACACTCCAGCCTGACAACAGAGCAAGACTTCCTTTCAAAGAAGGAGGAAGAGGAGGAAGAGGAGGAGGAGAAGGGAGAGGAGAGGAGGAGGAGGAGGAGGAGGAGGAGAAAGTATGCTAAAAAAAAATAATGCTAGGATGTTGGCATGATCAGCATGTTAGTCAGGGTTCTACTAGGAAACAGAATTTTTTCAAAGTACTTAAAAGAGGGAATTAGAAACAATGAATTATTTATGGAGATAATATGGTTTGGCTGTGTCCCCATCCAAATCTCATCTTGAGTTGTAGCTCCCATAATCCCCAAATGTCATGAGAAGGACCCAGTGAGAGGTAATTAAATCATGGGAGTGGGTTTTTCTGTGCTGTTCTGGTGGTAGTGAATAAGTCTCACAAGATCTGATGTCTTCGTAGTCGATAAGGAAACCCAGACGCCACCGCTGCTTTCCTTTTTTCAGGAGACCAGGAAGATGACAGACATTCAAACCAAGTGTGCCTACCAAAAGCAGCTGACCATCTTTCAAAACAAGGAGAGGGTCCTGCTGGGAGAAACTGGCAAGGAGAAGCTCCCGCGGTACTACAAGAACATCGGTCTGGGCTTCAAGACACTCAAAGTGGCTACTGAGGTCACCTGCATTAACAAGAAATGCTCCTTCACTGGTCGTGTCTCCATTAGAGGGCGGATCCTCTCTGGCATGGTGACCAAGATGAGGATGCAGAGGACCACTGTCATCCGCCGAGACTACCTCCACTGCATCCACAAGTACAACCGCTTCAAGAAGTGCCACAAGAACATGTCTGTACACCCTTCCCCCTGCTTCAGGGACATCCAGATCGATTACATCATCACAGTGGGCAAGTGCCAGCCCCCGAGCAAGACTGAGCGCTTCAACGTGCTCAAGATCACCAAGGCTGAGGGCACTGAGAAGCAGTTCCAGAAGTTCTGAGGCTGGACATCGTCTCACTCCCCACAATGAAATAAAGTTATTTTCTCATTCCCTACCACCAAAAAAAAGAGATGATGGTTTTATAAAGGGCAGTTCCCCTGAACACACTCTCTTGTCTGCAGCCATGTAAGAAGTCCCTTTGCTCCTCATTCACCTTCTGCCATGACTGTGAGGCCATCCCAGCCGTGTGTAACTGTGAGTCAATGAAACCTCTTTCCTTTATAAATTATCCAGTCTTCAGTATGTCTTTATTAGCATTGTGAGAATGGACCAATACAAAAGGCAATGAAAGTGATGAGTATCCAAATGGGGCACTGAAGTAGTTGAGGACACTTGACAGAAGCCAGAACCACCCCGACCTGTTTACCAGGAGGTGCAGCCATAGAAGAGCTGGAGCAAAGGAGGAAGTAACTGCCCTTGCTATAAGACACTGCCCAGGACAACCTCTTCCCCGTGCTTCCCACTGACCAAAACCATCCTGATGCCAACTAAATGAAGCCTGGAAAATAAAGGTGGGAAAGACCAGCCCTGCTCAGATGCAGAGGAGTGCAGGGACCAGATCTGAGGCCATATTGACAGCTTTTCATTTGCTTTAAAAAATATTTATTTAGGCTGGTGGATCACGAGGTCAGGAGATCGAGGCCATCCTGGCAACATGGTGAAACCGCACCTCTACTAAAAATACAAAAATTAGGCTGGGCGTAGTGGCTCCTGCCTGTAATCCAAGCACTTTGGAGGCCAAGGCAGATGGATCACCTGAGGTTGGAAGTTCAAGACCAGCCTGACCAACATGGTGAAACCCTGTCTTTAAAAAAAAAAAAGAAAAGAAAAGAAATAAAAAAACAAAAATTAGCTGGGCCTGGTGGCATGCGTCTGTAGTCCCAGCTATTCTGGAGGCTGAGGCAAGAGAATTGCTTGAACCTGGGAGGTGGACATTGCAGTGATCTGAGATCCTGCCACTGCACTCCAGTCTGGCAACAGAGCAAGA